AAAATCCACAGATTCCTATTAAAGAGCATGTTGGTATCCTTAGAAGCTGAAAGTAAATGAAATGGTAAAAGTGGTTAATCTGGTGATGTATTATTAAGCTGTGATATATTATTAAGTCTTTAAGAATTAACTCTATGTAGCCGTTAAAGCCCTTTCTGGAAACATAGAAATTGGGATGGTAGAGTGGTTAAGAGCAAAACTGTGAAGCAAGACCACCTGGTCTCTTGGGTAAATGATGCAGCTCCTGTGAGCCTCAGTTTCCTCATACGGAAAATGGAGTTACTACCAGAACCTGCCACATAAGGTTGTTAGCTATTAGTTTGTGATAGACGTCTCTGATGAGGATAACTTTGATTTAATTAATATTTACACAATATCTTTTCAGGGTGAAACACTGTGTAATAAACAAGTGTGAATAAGACAGTTTTTGCCTTCAGTGAATGTAAATGAAACAGGAGATGTTGAAACCGCACACACAGCATACGTGGCTAGTTATGACAGTTCTCAGTGAGGTTTCAGGTGATACAAACATTCAAGGAAGAAGCACTTTTCAATTAAGAGAAGTTCATTAGGTAGTTCATCTGGTAGGAAGATGACACAGATAGTGGGGGGAAGGTGCTATGGGCTGAATTGTGTCCCCCAAAACTGATACACCGAAGTCTAACCCCAGTGTCTCAGAATGTTACCTTATTTAGAGATAGGGTCTTTACAGAGGTAATCAAGTTAAAATGAGGGCGTTAGGGTGAGTCCTTAATTAAATATGGCTGGTGTCCTTATAAGGAGAAAAAAAGTGGACACAAAGACACTTATACAGGTAAGATGATGGGAAGAGACATGGAGAGAAAATGGCCACTTTCATGCCAAGTAGAGAGGCCTGGAACAGACCCTTCCTCACAGCCCTCAGAACCAACTTAGCCGACACCTTGGTTCCAGACTTCCGGCCTCCAGAAGTGTGTGATAATAAATTTCTGCCACTTAAGCCATCTAGTTTGTGATGCAGTGTTACAGCAGCCCTAGAAAGCCAATACAGAAGGCATCCAATAGAAGAAAAACACAAAGCTGGTCATGGAGGTGGAAAGTGAAGTTACTCCAATTAGCTAGGAACATGGAATACAAAAGAAAGGGGAGAAACAGGACAAAAATAACTCCTATTCACTCCCCAATAAACCAATGATCAGAAACAGATATTTGAAAACAATGCTCATATAGGCACAATTTTCTTAGGTCCACACAACTGGAGAAAAAAAATGCTTTTTCCCAGTCATTCAAATTATAAAAGGAGAGAATTTAAAAGATTATGTTGTCCCATTATGCTTTATCTGGGGTTGGTAATAACAGGTGATTGTTTTGAGACAGCAAGAAACAAAACCAGGAATCAAAAAAATTTGTCAAGACCTCGAAGGAAAATACAGAATCATATTTGACTCTGTTGATCAAATGAGTTTGAGGAATTAATGAGTTACCTGTAAGAGTCTCTGTTGCTGATGGTGTCATGACCTGAATCTTCCTGCTCATCTCCTGCTACATTAAAACAGACTCGTTTGCTGTTTCTTTCTCCCCTCTCATTGTCACTGTCTGTTGGTATTATGCATTCTGATGTCTTACGTTCCAATTTAGGAGAATATGTTATCAAAGACAGAAGGCTGCAATGTGATATTAAAAAAAAATTAAATGCATGTTTTCAAAGTGGCTGCTACAGATAACTACCTTATTCGTTTAATATGATAGGCTTACAGATATTTCCAGAGTGCTTCTGTGTTTCACATAACATAAATACTCTATTGAATAAAAAGCATGTCACAGGAAGCTGGTTTCTTCTTCTCAGAGTCAATAATAGAAACAGCACACAACTGAGAACAGAAAGCGGTATTCGAATTCAGGTTCTGCCACTTATTAGCTTTGTTATAATAACAAAGCTATGATAGTTCTCTTTGACAGTTCTCAGATGGGGATGAGAATAACTAGCCCCCACGAGTGCTGTGAGAATAAAATAAGAACATATTCCTGCAGAACGAGTATCATGCCTCTCCCCTGCCATTTCCACCACCACCACCATACGGAAACTACCTGGGAAATTTTAAAGTGCTAACCAAATATTAAGCCCACCACCAGCACCACCATTCCTGTCTATAACCCCCAGGTCACTCACTAACTGTCCCATAGCACAGCTTGCTCATCACGCAGTCCTGGGGCATCTGGCAGCTGCAAAGTGAAGTCTGTTTTCAAATTTCCTATCTTCACTAGCCCCCAATACTCTTCATTCATTTCCTCCCTGTGAGAATATACGATTCCTCTATTTTAAAATCCCATCAAAGTTTTGGACTATCCAGGATATATTTTTCCTTTTAGTTATTTCTAGTATCTAAGTGTCATTAACCAGAAAATAACCCATTAAAGGGCAAAAGTATTTAGCTTCCCAAAGTGAAACGGAATCATGAAGCCTTGATTAAATTCATAACATCATCTTATCTCATGTTACTAGACAGAAAATTCATTTCTAATTCCATCTTTGGATCTAAGTAGGAGGATTTAGTGAAATACCTATGTGTTCAAGAAAATTTTATTTCTAGCAGAAGTGTTCCCAAGTGACACGGTAACCAGACTTTATGATAAGACAAGTTCAATACCAGCCCCTTTTACAGGAATGAATTTCTAGTAAGGCTAGCAATGATGAGGTGTTATAAGGCAATTTCTCTTAAAATTTGGCAATACATTTGAGCTTTTCTCCCCTGCAAAGACATCTCTGTCTGATTAATTACTACATAGTAAGAAAATTGTTTAGTAACTAGTTTTTTAAATAATTTGCTAAGCTTGACTATACTGCAGCATCTCTGAATACTAAGAGCAATGGGAAATACAGACACTTGGCCAACTGTGCTGTTTTAAGGTGATTATATTGCATACTGAATCACATGGAAATATTTATATTTAGAATTTAATTATGTGACGTACACAGAAAAGACCACGTTAGTTTCTCTAATCATTTGCTCATTTCATCAGTTTCCAATAAAAATACACAGTTGGGTAAAGGCTTTTAGAATAACAGAGTACAGAAATCCTAAGTGAAAAATAATTATTTTAACTAGGCTTAGTTGATAAAAATAATAACCACTTCCTGCAACTAGTACTTTAAACATAAACATTTTAAACCAAGAAAGGCAACTCCTTGGCTCAAACTTTTCTTGAAAATATATCTACACTACCTTAACTTATTAAAAAAAAAAAGCCAATAAATTAACAAACTCTGGACAATCGCCAGATGGTGCTGAATAGTCAGTGCATTAGAAGCTTAGACTCCAAGCAGTGTCTGCTGAGGCCTGGCAATAATCCTGCCACTGACAAATGACTCACCCAGAAAGTGGAAATAATAACTCTTAGCCTAACTGGATATATGGGACTGGTCCAGATGTTCTCTTAAAGTCCCTTGGAGAGCCAGGATCTATGATTGAATACCAGTATTTATTTGCCCTATTAATAATGATTCTTATTCTATACACTTCCCTAAATACTTCAGCAGGAAAATAACTGGTTTCTAAAATAGAACATATCATATAAAATCCTATTTTTTCAATAAAGCAAAATAAACTGCTTTAAAATATGAACTTCTCTGTCACAAGGACTCCAAGACAATTCAAAAGTATCACACAATTGCTGAAGAATAGTCTGTTTTCTTAGCAACTTCAAACTGTTTAATTCATCTGTAAATGGAGAAGTCACAGGATAATATACAAAACATTATAAGTAATTTTTAAAAACGAGCATCTGGGACATAGGAAAACAGAATTTTAATTCTTAATTACTTATAAAACTTCAGAACAAATAGCATAGTAAATAGTAAATATTTGATAATATATTTTTTTAAATATGATGCATCTAATGTGCTGATTTTAATCTCTAAATTTTAACGATGTATAAAATAAAATATCATGCCAACTATGACTCCATCAGTATAATGTCCAACTACAACGAAGGATTAGAGGAAGTTCTAAATATTTTGTGGCAAAACTGAATTAGCCATGGAAGGATGGGATGACTTGAGTCTGTGAAGTAAACAACACGTATCTGGCAGCAATTTAAATCAACAACTTCATAAAGGGAGCACAGTAAAAACAGGATAACACTGTTTATACTGTTTTTAGAATCTACCAACTTCGGATATATTTGATAATTTCCATCCCTTGAATGGACGAGCAAGCATGATATCAGGCACTATGCTGATTGCTTTTGTATTAATTTGTAAAATTTTCACCACAAACTTATAATCCATTACTGTTATTCGTCCACTTCTACAGATGAGATTCCCTAAATCCCATGTCCTTTTGACTACAGAGAGCTGCTTGAGTCCATGTCAAGCAGATCATACACCACGCTGTGCCACATCATCCTGCAGAACTCAAGCAGTTCGCCAACCCACCAATTCTTAAATAAGAATTAGAGTCAATCTCTGGAAAAGTGCTTGTGAACTGCCTCTGCCTTCTCTTGGTTAAAACTTTCAAATTACAGACACAGCCATTTGCGTTATTGCTTAGTAGGCCATTAATTCATTCAAAACAGAAAAAAAAAAACTTGGTCCTAAAGATACATAAATTGTTCATTTGCTCATTTAACAAGTACATTAAGCATTTATTATACCTTATATCTTTTATAAATATCTATTGCATGCATATACATCAATCATCGTAATACGAGTAAATCCCCATAGTTAGTAGTCTTCCAAACATATTTTTCAAGGTAATATTTTCACAGTGAGACTTGCTTAGTGTTTTCCTATAAGACAGAATTTTGTTATTTTCTCCCGATATTAAAAGCTTATTTAAAATATATATCTATATATGCTTGCCATTTTTAAAAATTGTTTTGAAGGTATTAGATGAAGAGGATCTATATGATCAGCACAAATCTCCCACATTTCCAAAAACTAAAGAGAGAATGGGTTTTTCAAAAGTCACATTTTCTACAGCTATTTTATTAGGCAAACTTAAAAGTGCCTTATAAAATACTTACTCATCGATTTGACAAACACACATCTCCACCTCTTTCAGTGCAGTCTGGAGTTTCCCCAGCAGTTTCTGATAGATATCTTGGGTTTCTAAATCTTCTTCTTTTAACAAATATCTGAGCCCATGACCATCTTGCTGTCCCAGTGACAAACCTGAAGGGGCCGCCATGGTTGTAATTGTATGCTGAATGTACACCATAGGACTCAGTTTCCCTGGGGAATTAAAATCATTCCATAGTAATATTTATTACCTTTAACTTACAATAGCAATGCAGTCCAATTAACTTTATTTATTTTATAATTGAAGAAAAATTGTATGTATTTACTGTGTATAATATGACGTTTTGAAGCATACATACACTGTGGAATGACTAAGTCTGGGTAATTAACATATGCATTACTTCATAGTTATCATTTTTCTGGTGAGAATACTTACATCCACTCTCAGCATTTTTCAAGAATACAATATTGTTAACTACGGTCACCAAGTTGTACAAAAAATCTCTTGAACTTAGTCCTTTCTAATTGAAATTTTGCATCCTTTGATCAATATCTCCCCAACCTTTCCCACCCCCTCCAGCCCCCCACCAACTACTCCAGCCTCTGGTAACCACCATTCTACTCTATACTTCTATAAGATCAACTTTTTTAGATTCCACATATGAATGAGATCATGCGGTATTTGTCATTGTGTCTGGCTTATGTCACTTAATATCATGTCCCGCAGGTTCACGCATGCTGTCAGAAATTACAGGTTTTTTTTCTTTTTAAGGCTGAATAATATTCCACTGTATGTATACATCACATTTTCTTTATACATTCCAATTAATTTTAGAAGTCTAAGATTACGTAAAATAGAATGCCGATCCAATGCTGAACTTAATTCAGAAATTAAAGCTTGTGGAGAGTTATAATTAAAAGCTAAGAAGACAGTTCAATCCCTAGTCCTATTGCAATGGTGCAGAATGGCATTAGACATCCTTGCAGCTGCTCCTCTGACATTGTTTCTCAAAGTTACAGGGCCATTTCAGATTAGTGACTTTAACGGCAAGATGAGCTGTGCCTATCACGTGCATAAAGAAGACAAAAGCAATCGTCCTTCTTACGAGATAAAATAATAAAAATTCCTAACTCCATTTTCATTCAAAGTACACGTATGCATAGTAGTCAACATAATTATAGTGAGGAATCCTTCCTTCATAAAAGTTCAGGACTGCTTACACAGCAGGAATCTATCAGATTTCAGGAATGCAGAAATAGCTATGATTGCCTACATTACTTTTCATGAGTTGATAAAGTTTCAAAAGCTAGTATACCTTGCTCAGAAGATTTATTTTCTTTGTCATGAGAATTATGCTTCCTACTGTCCAACTGAACACCAAATGCACTCCCCAGGGAGGTTGATGTTTTGGGATAAGAAACTTCCATCACATTGACATGGCAATTGGTAGGGCAGAAATCACTGCTGTGTAGAGGGGAGATTTTAGATTTGGCCTGTTTAAAAGTGGGCCAGGCTCTATTCTTCAGTACACGAGAAAACTGCAAATTAAAAAAGAAATAAAATGCAGTTGAACACACAGTAATAACTCAAATATTTCATTTGCATCGTGCGTAACAAAATCAAAAGAAAATTAAATTATAGCAACTGGAATGAGTGAAATAAATTAAAACTTGTTAGAAATTAAATTACTTCAAAACCCAAATATTCTTAATAAAAAAAGAAATAAAATGCAGTTGAACACACAGTAATAACTCAAATATTTCATTTGCATCGTGCATAACAAAATCAAAAGAAAATTAAATTATAGCAATTGGAATGAGTGAAATAAATTAAAACTTGTTAGAAATTAAATTACTTCAAAACCCAAATATTCTTAATAGAGAAAAGTAGTATAAGCAGCAAATGCACATACTTTCTCTGAAACTCTGATTGCAAGCTAGGGGCTAAAAGAAATGAATTTCAGTGACCAACTCAAATCCACAGGTTCCCAGCAGCTGGGAGAGTCTGATAGAGAAATTGGTGTTCCAGGACACCAGGATAAAAACAAGATCTCTAAAGCAAGGTAAGGTGGCAAAATAGGGTAGCTATCAGGTCAAAAGTGGAAGAAGATGAGATAATTCCAAACTTTGTCATAAAGCCAATCCAAAGCATGAATCTGTGTACAGGTCAGACAGCAAGGTGTGGTGGTGGTGACCCAGAATGGCAGGACAACTGTACCTCCCATGCCTCCTGCTAATCACTGCTGAGCACCGGGGTCAGGACCAGCCTTAAGAGTGGCATGCACTCTGCTTCTGTGTCACTGAGAATCACGTGACACTCAAATGATTTATACAACTTCCAAGAGGAGCCACCCCATTGCTTCAAACCTTGCAGTGGGTTTCCATTCCAATCCATCCACTCCTTGCCATGGTCTAGAAAGCTGCTCCAAGCCTGGTCCTCACCTAGCTGATCTGTCTCAAGCTCCCTCCCCGTGGCTCCCTCAGCTCCCTCTGGACTTCACCTAGTTCCCCTTGCACACCACCTACTCACTCTGGACCTTTGTAAAGGTTGTTCAGTGTGCCTAGAATGGTCTTCTTTCCTCATTTCTGAACTTTTTCCTATTCATCTTCAAGTTCCATCAAATCATCAAAAGGCCTTCCTGAGCCTTACCCTAGGTTCAATTTCCCTGGCCACACACTAGGTTACAGCACACTGTAGCCCTCCTTATCATTAAAAATAATTACCTTATCTCTAGCTCCTATAGCAGGTGGTAAACTCCATGAGGATCATACCTACGCCTGTCTTGTACACCATAAATAGGTATCTCATAGAGCTGAAATGTACTGTAGTCTCAAAACCAAAGGACTGAGTCACTGACTACCTGTGTTCTAGTCATGGCTGTCACAATAAAAAATATGATGTTAGGAAAATCACCGTCTTTTTGTCACTCTTAGTAAAATAAGGGATATGGCTTAAATAATCCCTATGTTCTCATCTCGCTTGAAAACTATAACCATAATCTGGCCTATTTATTCTACTAGTAGAGTAATAACATGGGGATTGAACAAAATTGAATATTAAGACTAACACTGGTCATTGTCTAACTTTTTTAGGTTAAATTCAAGAATAAATATCAAAATATTTAAATAAATATCACGAATTACATCTAATATAAACTCAACATTAGAGCATGGCCTCTCTGGCCGGCGTGGTGGCGCACTGTTACAGTGCACCGCTTGGGAGCTTGGCGGCGCTCCCGCCGAGGGTTCGGATCCCACATACAGACCGGCCGCTCACTGGCTGAGCGAGGTGCGGGTGCAACACCGAGGGTTGCGATCCCGTTGCCGGTCCCGGTCCAGTACGGGCGCGACACTGAGGGTTGCGATCCGTTGCCGGTCATGAAAAAAAACAAAAAGGAAAAAAAAAAAAAAAAAGAACATGGCCTCTCTTATTTCTACATACAGACATTATTATAAATGTTTTTATATACATACACACAGTCATAGATATAATATGCAACTTAAACTGTTCTCAAATCACTTGTCAGAAGTTCAGCAAAGTGCTAGCACACAGTAGGAATCTACATGGAACTGGACTAAAATGCAGAAAATTATTAACAAAATTACTAACAGATTTGATAAAAATGTATGGTAAAAATATCCTGGACACTAAAAGACAGGAAGGAATTTAGAGAACTCCTGGTGTATCCCCCTCACTTCACTACTAAAGAAATTGTGAGCTGGAGACTTGTAAGAGACAGAGCTAGAATTTAAGGGCAGATGCAAAACTTCAGTTGGAAGTTCTTTTCCACTATTATTGCAGGATAACAGTCTCAGATAAAACTCCCAAGACACACAGAAAGGCACAGCAATCAATTTTATTAAGTCACACCATCCATCATAATAGGAAGTTACTCTTCTTTTGCCTTCTTCCATTTTAACCAATTATCCAACCACTTAAAAATAGGAAGAGAGGCGTCTATGCCAGACCCTGTGCTAAATGCTGCAGATGCAGCCCTTGCCCTCATGGAGCCCACGGTCTAATAGAGAACATGGGAAAAAACATGTAACATTATTGCCATATATAAAACATATTATAATTATATGTACCATATGTACACAATGTATGTATATGTACAATACACAATGTATGTATACATACTTCAATTAGATAGAGGGGACCAGAGTCCAACTGGGTGTTTTGAAGAAAATAAAGGTGAGAGAGTGAGACAGCAGGTATAGACAGCAGGTATAGATAGCTCTTTCAGAAGAGAGATCAAATAAATGGAAGAGTAGAGAGAGAGAAATGTGAGGGTCAAGAAAAGTCCTTATTTTTAATATAGGTGATATTAAAGCACATTTGTATACTGACAAGAATAAACAATTCTTGGAAATTAACGTTCAGGTTTTTAATATATTGGTAGCTAATTCATGAATTATTGACCAAGGCAACACATTTAAAATCAAATTATAGTCACTTGACTAAAAGTCAGAAATAATACACAATGCTGTGGACTGAATGTCCCCCCCTAAACACACTGGAAACAATCTCCATTGTAACAGTATTAAGAGGGTGGGAAATCCTACTACAGTAATTGAAAGGTGGGGCGTTTAGAGGTGATCAGATTGTGAGGTCTGTACCTTCATGAATGGATTAATCCATTGATGGTTTAATGGGTGGTCATGGGCGTGATTCTAATGGCTTTAAAAGGAGAGCAAGTGAGGAGGTTAGCCCACTTGCTCAGCCCATTCTCGCCATGTGAAATCCTGCCTCACTGTAGAAAAAGGCCCTCATCAGATGCGCCTTCAGGACCTTGGACTTACCAGCCTCCAGAACTGTAAGAAATAAATTCTATTTCTTTATAAATTACCCAGTTTCAGGTATTCTGTTATAAAAAACAAACACAAAGGTAAGCTATTATTTTGCAGATAGTCTCCCACTTCAATTAAGTGTAAAACCTCTTTGGCATGGAGTCATAAAAGTTTTGGTTTGGACTGCCTTTCGGGGGAAGGGGACATGGGGAAGAATTTTACCCACAATTTTCCCAGTCCATATATCAGTTTGAGGATTATGTGGCTTTCTTAAGTGAAAGTACTTGGAATCTTCAAAGTAAGGCTTCCACTATCTTTTGAATACATATTAAATATTTATATCTAGGAATTACCCCCAATACCCAAAATAAGTTCAATTACAGAATTATTCTAAAGCAGAAGAATGACTCTAGAATTAAAAAGGGTTCCCAGGACAATTTAGGGTGAGAGAGTTCCTACAAAAGAGGCATCATAGTTTTACGTTCGAATCACCTACAAGTCATGCTCTACGGAGAATAAATGCTTGTTTAGGATTCATTCAGGTCTCTGGTAAGATTTAATCTTGTCTCATGCATGTGCCAAAAAACATCTGTGGCCTGTACAGCTGGCCAAGAAATCTATAGCAGCCTGGCTATAGAAACTGTAGAAATCAACTGGTTTCTATTTTTAAAACCTAAAACTTTTAGAGTCAAAATAAAGTAAAGGCAGCCTTTTAGAGATTTTAGTTTCTATGGATACATTTTATTTCACAAAAAAAGAGGAGTGGTGAAGCCTTCATGCAGAAGAAAAATATGTTGCTAATAATAGTTTAAGAGTAAATATGTGAAAATTAAAATCTATATTCACAGATGCTATGATTTCTGTTGACATGGGTTTGATGCATAAATGGAGCTAACTTTATATGACCTATTAAGACTGTCATCTTAGGTATCTATGTCTTATTCAAATTGGAAAGATCTTTGAAATATTTTCTTATTGTGACTCTGCTTCTCTAGTCCAAAAGACAGCTAATTATTTTAAGTATGTTTATGGTCAAGTGGGAAGATGAAAAGGAAAGCTTTTAAAGCACCTAGGCCCTGTTTGACTAGATGTTTCTTTTTATTTCTAAATTAAAATAAAAATAAGCCAGACAGCATTCCATAGGACTGACATTTGGTCTGCTACTTGCTGGCCCTATGACCTCAGGCAAATTCTTAATATCCCAAGAAAGAATCAGGATACTAAAAGTCAGTACACACGGCTGTTTTAAGACTCAAACAATAATAATGTACATAAAAGAGCTTTCTGTAATTTAGTGATATTATTTTTATCATCTAAAACCACTGCCCATTAGCCTGTCCATCTCTGCCTTAAAAGCTTCCAGCATCCCAGTTACTTATGAGCAAATGGAACAACCTTCTCATTCACCAGATTGATTTTTTGAGAATCTCCAACATTTCGGGGAAACCCTGTACTAATGCTTTTAACCCCCCACAACATACACTCCTGTTTATTGTAAACTATATTTTTGTTAGAGACCAAGGAATTACAGTTTCTTCATGTACCATAACCAAGTCTTCATGAAGCTGTGTGTGTTCTGCCTCCTACGCACAGCCGGCATTGATCCTTTTCTCTCCACCTCCAAATACTTCTACACCAGTCTAAGTCCCATCAACCTGCACCTCCACAGGTAGAAAAGGCTGCTTACCAACCTCACCACTTTCACTCCTCTCCTACCAGTACTTTCTCTATACTGCTGTCAAAGTGATTTTCTTACAAACAAATGTGATTATTATCCTACTCCAATATATCACTGGAAAACCTGCTTTTGTCAGTTTTCCTTTTTAATGGCATCCAACTCAAATCCTCCTTTCTAGTTCGAGCAGTATGCCAATTCTTCACTAATAAGATCAGTTTCATTTCTACAACTTTGCCTTTACTTATGCTATCTCTCTTTACTTGAATGCCATCTCTCCTCCCCTTCACTATGACAGATCTTCCCAACTTACAGGGGGGCTACTGCTTGCTGACAATTCAATTCACAATGATTTTTATCTTTACTGAAATCCTATTGCTCAGTCAGAACCATACTGTTTAGCACATAAGCTGTGCAACACAGTGTCAAATACAGGTAAACGAACAGAAATCAGCTTTAGAATAAAAGGGAGTGAGGTTCAAATTCCATTCCTGTCCCCAGCTGAGTGCCTTTGAACAAGTTTCTTGACCACTCTGAAGTTCAGTCACTTCATCAGCGAAATGGGTAATGTGAGTCTCATAACACTGTTTTGGGAAGATTATACAATGTAGGCAAACCATACAATTTTTCCTGTAATGCCTGATACCTGGTAGCAGACTCAAAAACTGCTGTGTGCTACATGACTCTAGAAAGCACCATCATAGAAACCAGGATATGAGAGACCAGCATGTTCAACCGGGGAAGATTATACAATGTAGGCAAACCATACAATTTTTCCTGTAATGCCTGATACCTGGTAGTAGACTGTCAAAAACTGCTGTGTGCTACATGACTCTAGAAAGCACCATCATAGAAACCAGGATATGAGAGACCAGCATGTTCAACCGTTCATGATAGCACCTCCTAAGGGGTTAAGTAGACATTATTATTATTGCTTACTTCCCATGTTTTGACCGTTCCTGCCAGTTAGACTGTAAATAAGAGAGGGCAGGCATCCTCAGTTAACTCTTCCATAAGTCCCTATCGCCCAAATTAAAGGCACACATTAATAAATATTCCCCTATTCTTCCTGCCCGATCCTACAACATATTTGCTTTCATGAAATTGAGTTTTGAATCTATTCCACTGACTTTCATTAAAGAGAGCATTAAAAATATCCATCACACAAAACAAACTCTTTTTTGTTTTATCTCTTCTTTTGCAGGGTTATGTTTATGGGTACCGTCGATGACATTTCTTGGTGTTGCCTCTATGAAATCCAGTGTGAAATGTTTCTTTTAAAACTCAGCCTAAGAAAAGCTATGCTTCTCTTAAGAAACATGCATATTTCCCAAAGATACTGATAAATATGTAATAAGCTGTGTTTTCCTTTTCATTTAGCTACCAGAAAGCTAAAGGCCAAATACAGCATTCAACTTCAGCAACTAAACAGAATCTTGGGACCTGCTTACCTATGACCCCTTTCCCTGGTGGTCTATACTATCTATTTTAATATAGCTTTACTGTACAGCAGACACTGATCATTTTCCTCCAATATCCATTCTCCCTTTTCCCTTTTACTAATAAAATTCCCTGAGTTTTAGTTGGGCACGTGGATGCCCAGCTTGAGACTAGATTTCCCAGCCTCCCTTTCGCTAAATGACTTACTGTGTGTGAACAGGAGTGATGTGTACAACTTCTAGGTCACGCCCTCAAAAGGAAACTTGACTCTCTTCTTCTTTTTTCCCCATTCTGAGGAGTTATACCTTAAGCATGGTAGTGGTGAGCCAGCTATGACCTTGCAGAAGAGGAAAGTGCGAAAATACAGAAGGTAGCTGATCCCTATGTCAGGTTGGACTTTTATGTGAGTGAGAAATAAATCTATCTTGTTTAAGCCTACATTGTCCTAGGCCTTCTTAAAGTGGCTGAATCAATTCATCAGCTAATAAACCCTAATCCTAATGTAATTTACCTTTTTCCATGTATACTTTTTAAGCTACTTCCACTGTTTTTGTTGTATGAAAGAAGAGAGAAGAAGGAAGAAAAGCAAAAAAGGAAAGAGAAATAACACAAATGACCAGTTTGACATCCCAAATCTGCCTGAACCCCTATCACATCTTATACACGATCTCTGAAGTAAAATGATTCTCTTTTTCAAGTGTTCAAAAGGAGAATAGTACTAATTTGCATTTTAGAGCTTTTAAATTTTACTTCAAAGCACTGTCACATCTCACAGAGAAAGCAGAAGGAAAAGAGATTCTCAGGTACTTCTTCTCCAGCAAGGGGCACTCATGGAATCTTTCTCAAATAGACGAACTGGGCTCAGCAATCCTGGGAAGAGGATTAACTGACACGACAATTAAGCGGTGGTCTTGACTCCATCTCACAGAGAAAGCAGAAGGAAAAGAGATTCTCAGGTACTTCTTCTCCAGCAAGGGGCATTCATGGAATCTTTCTCAAATAGACGAACTGGGCTCAGCAATCCTGGGAAGAGGATTAACTGACACGACAATTAAGCGGTGGTCTTGACTCTCATTTTTCTTCATGTGAATGGACTTTTTAAAAATTGCAATAGCAATGCACACTCAATTTAACAAGCCAAACACTATATGAAGTGCTTTAAAGAAAAACTGAATGAACCCTTTCCCCTTGTCTCACTCAACCTGCGGTAACCAACACTGACGGTCCCTTGGCCTTTCATTTGTGCACACCCTACCCTCCTACAAACATGTACGGACATATATGGGTTTATTTTCACTTGCCATATCAAGAAGATAAAACACATACAGTTAGTTAACTCATCCTCATATACATCAAGATAAATAATATTTCCTAGTGTGGCTGTACCAGATTTTAAGCAACCAGCCTCATTTTGAGGGAAATAATTTAATTGATTAGCCTTCTATTGATATAAGTAGAAAAAATTTAAAAATCTGTTATAGGAAATGTTTTGAAGACCAATTTCCACTAATTCTACCTCCAAAATATATTCCCAGATCCATCCAATTTTCTATCTCCTCCATCTTCTCTGCAGTCTGAACTACCATTATCGTTCAGCTGACTACAGTAGCTCCCTGTTGGTGTCTATTTTGTCCATTCTTGTCCCCTGCAACCCATTCCTACAAAAGCATGATGTTTCATGACCTATATCAAATGATGTCATCCCTGTTTAAAACCTTCCATTTGGTTTCCACTGATATAAGAATAAAATCCAAACTCCTTCCAGAGTTCCAAAGTGTACAAAGCTTCCACAGCCCTTCAGGACTGGTGACTATGCCTCTGACCTTATGACTGGCCACCTCCCCTGGCCACCCTGGCCTTCTTTCTTCTTTGGGTCCTCCGTGCTTCTCCTTCTGCTTGGATGCTGCCCCTCCAGATGAAATGGAGACTTCTACTCACGGTTCACATACAGCTTTCTCCAAGACGCTTTCTCTAGCCACCCAGTCTAAAGGTACCACCTGGCACTTCCCACCCAGCTTCCCTGTTTTGATTTCCTCATAACTCTTTTCAGTATTTGATTTTCCCCCTTTGTAGGGATTTATGTGTATTTCCTTCTATGCTATCTCCCCCACACAAATGTGAGCATCGTGAGAGGAGAGATCTTGTCTGTCTCGTTCTCTGCTATATTCCTGGTGCTTGGCACACAGAAGGTGCCCCCAGAATAAATGTCAAATGAATTAACTAATCAATTTAAAACAGCCCATGTTCCATGTACTTTCTGATTGAAGGCTTTTGTTCCCTTTTTTGGGTGAAAAAAGAAAGAAGAGCCATACTATAAGTTTAAAATTTGACTTTATAATTAGGGGGGTTGCATTTAAAGCCTTGGCTTTATTTTTTACCACCAAATAAAATTAATTCTTTAGACCTCAGTCCCTATATTTTGAAAATGTGGAATAATAATGTAGCTTACAGGCTCGCAAAAATCAAATGAGATAATGAATGTAAAGGCATTAGAACACTCGAAAATATTGTATAAATGTTATTATTTCAATAAGCTGGTACATTCAAATACGTAAAGAAAATATCGAGATTTAAATTTGATTAAATTTGACATTTAAATAATAATTTCAATAATAACTACATGTAAATTCTATTGAACCTTTACCTTTTTATAACTGGATATTCTCTGACATATGTGCTCAATTCTTTCACTGCAAACAGCACTGAATTTACTCTGGAGATCAGTAGGGATCACTTCATTTAGAGAATTAAGGCTGGCACAGTTTTGTACAAAATGATCATCACTTTTAGCCAGGGCTTCAAGAATCTGTAATGATACACACACACACACACACACACACACACACACACACACGCACGCACGCAAAACAAAACAAGAAAAAAATCTTCATTAAGCAGCCACATAAAATTGTCATAAGTTAACAAGACAGGGTGACATTCCTACCGCTCTTTCTCAGAAGCTGCCCAGGATTTTTATGCTCAGTGAGACACTGTCAGTGAAGTAATCTGTCCTGCCTGTTTGGAATCTCTGCTTGTGCCTTCTGCTGGCTATAAAAGCCTGCCCGCGGAGGCGAGTGGACTTCAAAGACTCCCTGCTGGATAAATCAGTACATTCTGATGTGGGAATACACCTCCTATATTTTAGTCGGAATCACTCAGAACATTTTTTTTTTCTCAGTTTGTTATTAGAACAAAAAAACTAAGGAAAACCAATAGCATCCTTGCTTGTCAACTCCCTGCTGGATAAATCAGTACATTCTGATGTGGGAATACACCTCCTATATTTTAGTCGGAGTCACTCAGAACATTTTTTTTTTCTCAGTTTGTTATTAGAACAAAAAAACTAAGGAAAACCAATAGCATCCTTGCTTGTCAATGAGAGCCCAGCATGGAGAGTGCATTTCACAAAAGCTTGCTGAAGGAATTAATAAATGAAAAGTGATCTTGGTAAAACACAAATTAATGTTATTTGCAGTGCCTGGGCTCTAGCTGATAAAAGCATCAAATAAAAGCATCTGTACAATGTTTTCAATTACTAAATCTTTTTGACTACCTGAACCAGTTGTAAGGCAGTGTGTGTGTGTGCACGTGCACACCACAGATCACTACAATTTCCAATGAATTGAATATTAATGATGTGGTATACTGATAGGTAGCATTTATGATTGTTCTGAGGTCACAAGGATTGATTATACCCTTAACTGATATTTTTATAATACTCTATTATAAAACATATATAAAATGTATAGATATTATGTTTATTCAAGCTTTCTTACCACCTCCACTTCCCTCTTATGCTAAATGTGGAGCATGAGTTATTTGTTTAATCACTTTTTTAGAAATTAGAGCTGACTTTATCATTGGCAGTGTATTCTTGGCTAAATTTCTTAAAGTTTTTGAGATTCTTTTCTTCATGTGTAAAATGAAAGTGATATTTGCAGTATTACTTATACAGTTGTCACATACAGAAAAAATCCATGTAATTTTGTAAACTTGAAATAGCTGGAAAATGAAATAAAATAATTATAATAACCTGGTCCCAAACTCTTACATGGATCCCATTAATAGTACAATGCAGTTGGGAAGGGGTTGCATTTTGGAAATATGTATTTCATATCAATAGATACATACAGTGGTACAATATCATCAGAATGATGGGATTTTTTTAAGTTGACTTTCAGAACATAAAACACAAAACTAAAGTAATTATTTTTTAAAAAGTTCATTTGGTCTCTACATTATTTTCTCCCACTAAAAATTTTTAAAATGTGTGTTATAAATTCTAAATCTATCTGAATTATACATATTTGAAATAAGAATTAAAATGAAGGTAGGGGAGCTACATCCCATTTTTTAACTTGTAATGTCTGAATTCTCACAGGATGCTATAAACGCAGGATGAAACACTGCAGCAGGATACAGTAGGAATCTGATTGATTTCCCCTGTAGGAGGGCCATAAAAAGCAAGCAGAGTCACCTCTTCATCACATGTTTTATCCATTTGGATGAAGACTCCCTTCTTCCCTCCCCATCTTCCAAGGGCCTTATGGTGATTTCCTTCCCAAATGAGAATTATATCAATTTCTGAGGATCTATTCATAAACTGATCTCTAAGCTTCCTGAAATTTTATGAAATAAACACGACACTTGGCAGAATTTGAAATTTCTTATAATGTATTTCATGACTTCAAATACTCTTCAGAGGATTACATACACTGAAAATAAAAAATTTAAAAAGGTACCAGCAGCAAACTAAATAAGTTCAGTGAAGCCTTTGCTATTTCAGCTAACACTTGCCTAGGCAAGAGTTCCATCTCACTCAACACTGCGCTCCAAAGGATCAATAAAAGAAGACTGTACACATACCGAATAACAGGGAAAAAGTAAAAATCAGAAGAAGTTGTATAAGTTGATAGCTGCAACATGTACAGCTATTTACATTTTTAAAAGTGAGGGTGGGGGAGGGTTTCAGTGCTTCATGTAGAACAAAGAACTTTGTTTCCCGGGGTCACTCATACCTTGGCAGTCAGGCTGAAGAAGCCTTTGGGCTCGATCATCTTCTCCACCACATTGCACTTTATCCCAGCTGTGCTGTCATACTCGTACACCACCCCGTACTCCAGGTGGACGTTATCCACCGTCAGGCTCACATGCTCCTTTTTCCCGTCAATGATGGCCATGGTGTTGAACTTGTCGATTACCTCTGGAACAAAGACAATTTGAGTTCAGCAAATTCATGAAGGGCTACTCTACTCAAATAATTTTGGGTCTCTTTGAACAGTTTTTAAAGAGGTCTTTAAAAGATGGTTAAATCTGGTGTGCCAAAGGAAGCATCTATTCTTGTTAACATTTTAAAAAATAAGAACATTTTGAAAAAAGCATATACTTGAGTGATCCAAACCTCACCATCTAACATGACTAGCCTTATCTTTGTACATCCACTTTTATCTGTGAACCAAATGTCTACCTATTTATACCAGCATAAACATTATACATGCAATTTTGCATTTTTTCATTAAAAGCATGCATAACTTAAAGTTAGGATTTCTAAAACTGCCTCAAACATTGGATGAGTATTTTCTCAAAGCAGGAAAAAAAATACATAAAGAAGGCCATATTGAAGAAGCAGAAAAGATATGCTGGAATCATTTCTTCAGCAGAGAGGATGCCTGAAGTTTCCCAAAAAACGTCTTTTGGAGAGAGTTCATTGAGAAAATTGTTTTATTGTTCACTATAATAAAATTTCCATCTGGAATGTCAGCCTATTGTTTTTTAGACTGCAATCAGTCAACTGGAAAAAAAACAAAAAAAAACACCTAAAATCTCAAGTAAGAAACTGCTGGGAAACCTAACAGTAAATATTAATTAAGCAAAAATAGAATATTAGTTTACTTAAAACAACAAAGCCCTAGGATAGAGTATACAGTAAATATTAGATAGGCAAAGTAGAAAATTGATTTACCATAAATTAATTAAGTCCTGGAAAAACTACAAATAAATTTCCAGAGCATCATATCAACCAATCTATCTGTCAATGTGGCACCGATGCTGATTTATTCCAAATGAGGAATAAAAGCTTCACAATAAGGTCTTGAGATTTGTCATGGTTTGAATAAATAACGTCATGTCTTATCATAACAACCTTACTGTTCCAGTGACGTTGAGATATTACTGATGGTGCACGCAGCCTTCCAGGAGTGGAGGAAAAACAGCTTTTCCTAAGTACCCCCCATATGATGAGTGTGCAGAGATCTTATTTGGTCTTTCTTGGTCTTTGGCCCCAGTTCTTGACAAAGAGTTAGAATCCTTGCAATTTACTGCGTGATACAAGAGCATCTTTTGTTATTCATAACAAGCCCCTTTCAGAGTTTATGCTAATGAGGTGACTCTTAGAGAACCTACATATTCACGATAAGGCTGGTTGTCAGAGGAACCAACCATGTGATTAAGGGGTAGGAACTCTCAGCCCCACCCCCAAACCTCTGGTGAGGGGAGAGGGGCTAGAGATTGGATTCAATTACCAATGGCCGGTGTTAATCAACCATGTCTACGGAATGGAACCTCCATAAAAACCCCTAAATGACATGATTAAGAGAGCTTTCAAGCTGACAAATAAGTCCACATGTCAGGAAGGTGGCACACCCCCAACGCCATAGAGACAGACCTCCTGTGCTCAGGACTCTTCCGGAGCTCACCCTATGCACCACCTCTTCATCTGGCTGTTTATTTTATACCCTTAATAATAAACAAAAAATAGTAAGTGAAGTGTCTTCCATTCCAGCAAATTATTGAACCCAAGGAGGGGGTGTGGGAATCCCCTGAATCTATAGCCAGTTGGTCAGAAATACAGGTAAAAACTTGAGACTTGGGACAGGCATCTGAAATGGGGACAGTAGAGTGGGACTGAGCCCTTAACTTGAGGAGTCTGTGCTAACTCCCAGTAGTTAATGTTAGAATTGAATTGAATTGTAGGACACCCAGCTGGCGTCCAGACAGTTGAAGAATTGGTGGGGGGGGGGGGGACACCA